GTCCCTGTTGCTGCCCCTGTGCCCTTCCTGTATCTTCTCATTGCTTCTACTCCATTCATTTCTCCTGCTGTGGGAGGACCACCACTTTGCTACTCTTCATTTCTACTGTCCCTGTTTCTGCCAGCAGGAAAATCAAGCGAACTGGCATTGTTCAATCAAGATTGTATTTTGAAGTGAATCTGCATGGACCCATTAGCGTCCCATTACGTTATCCTGGGCTCTGTACCATTTTTTCTCTCTACTAGTGATCTACAATTTACAGTGTTCGTATTTATTACCTGCCTGTGACTTACATGAGATGCTTATTCTTTATAAATGAGTAATAAATAGAACTTTATTCTAATAAAGTTTTCATGACATGGACATCAATAAATGTCTAAGATGCCTATGGATACATTTTATGGAATCTCTTTGGACCTTGTGATTAAATTTTATGTAAAAATCTAAGTGCTTTGGCAGTTTTAACATTCTCTGGAAATAAATAACTTGATCTCCTATACCATAGTGGATGCTATATAGGTTTGTTTATTGGTCACTGCCTGATGGTCTGCTTGTTTTCTGGGGCATTGTGTTTTTTCTGAACTCCTCCTGTGTTTATGCCAATGTGTGATTTAGCAATTGAGACCATTAACCTTGATAGGTGTTTCTCAGTGTGTGCCACAGGATACTGTTGTTGGAAGTTGATCTTTTTCTCATGAAATTTCTGCACTGGGAAGAGTTGTATTCACTGCTTTTGGAGGAACTGCTGGCTTGAAACACTATGTAAAATATTTTCAATACCTACTAGAAATATGTATGGGTCATTGGAACTGAAAATGGCATTTATTTGAATATAGTCTATGTTCCTCCCACTTCTTGCATATGCAAAATCATTGCAGTGTTTATTCAGCAGTGTTTATTACACAGCATGTTAGTCTGTGTAATAATCCCTAAGTTTTCTACTGTCAGGGCAGACTGGTCTTCTGCGCATGACATCTTGCTTCCTACTACTTGTCAACATGAGTGAGTTGATGTCATGTGTTGGAAACCATTCTCAACACACAAGTGATTTATTGCTGGCTGCAATCCATAAGCACTATTCTTACCTGATGGCACCTGACCTTTGGACATAGCATCTGAGAAGTTCTTTTTTGACTTCATTCAGAATATTCAGCGACACTATCTGTCTGGAAGTACACATCTGTTTAGTCCATCCATTCTTCAGTTGCCCCTTACTCTCAGAACCAGCTCTAATTCAGTACTACAGCATCAGTAAAGTTCATCTATTTTCCAGTACTAGTCACAGGAAATTTTCTGATAAAGAAAAAATATATGCTTCAAGTCAGCGACCCCCTCCCACAAAACCCCCAAATCCTTTGTTCTACGCCGAAAACAATTTATTCTCTGTAGTTTCTTCTACACCCTGAAATACACAGAAGGTTTGATAGGCACATCAGGATACTGATACTGAAATCTCACCAGCCATCAGTGTCTGTCTGGTTTAGCTCGTGTGCTAAGATTGTCTTGGCCTGATGGGTACTTCACATGATTTTTCATATTAGGTATTAGTGTTCTAGTCTTCACTGGCACCCATTCTTTTTCAAAAGCTTCTTATGAAACATTCTTATGAGTTATCCTACTTCTATTTCAGCGGGCTACAGAGAAAGTTTGAAGAACAGAAATTTTTTTCGAAGTGTAGACATTACTGCTTGGATCTCCCTACCCTCTTCCATTAATATTACTATAACTGCACTGCATAGGTCCCAGGACTGTTTTTCTCCATACAGAGGATTCGGTAGTCTGTAGACAACCACACAAGAATTAAATTGACTGACAACATGGTCTTTAGAGTCCCTCAGATCATACGTTAAGCGCACTTTTAGATCCTTCCACTTGCATTTCTGGCCAAAAAATTACAAATTTCCACAAGTAGTAGAAGTTTAATTCATATAATTAAAATGTCTTGAAAAACAGCTGTTAGCTTTTTAACTTGTTTTTGTTTGCTGTGTAATGATATGAGTCTTAAGATTTATTTATGTAAGTAGATAGCTGCATCTGTGGATGAATGTCACTGGGTGGGAGAGGTACTGTTATGGACCTGGCTTGTGACAGTTGGTTTTGGGATACTTAGTGATGCCAGCCCTGCGCAGTCTTAATGCTTGGTCATATGTAGGAGGAGTGCAGTTGCACTGGGCAAAGCGCTGTCTCCTACCAAAGAGGAGGTCTGTGTTCTCCCTTCTTCTTGCATACTACCAAAGAGTCATGGCTGTCTGATCCGTCAGTTCTTGACAGATTTTGTTTGTTTTAGAAGTGGAAAAATTTCCATTTAATATTTTTATAGTGTAAATTTGGCAAACTCTCTGCAGGGGCTAAGGCTGCAGTTTGGGAAAGTATGGTAAGTTTCTCTTCTGGAGATTAAGCCACTCTATATGCGAAACAGTATTGAATATTCCATACAAAACTCAGTTTAAAAAATATTAAGGTAATATGGTTACCCTATCAAGAAGCAGGGAATGCTATAGTTAATTCACCTTGTGAATTTGCATTATTTCATGTTCCTTCTTTTAACTGATCATTGCATACTTCTTTTTTAAACAACTGTAGTATCATTCAAAGTCTTAGTGTTAGACAATTTCAGCATCTTGTATCATTTTTAATTTCTTTTTATCTACATAGCTTCATTGTCTTAATGGTTCAACACCTTTATTGACATAGTGAAATCTGTTGCTGTGGACATTAATCATTAATTCTTCTATTCATATCCACATACAAAAGTTAATTAATAAATTCAAAAGAGGAGTAGTAGTAGTACTGCTACTACTACTACTACTAGTAGTTATCTAAACTAGGTTATTAATGTTGGTGTAGATCAGGCTTCCTCCACTGGTAGTCTATGGGCCAAACCCAGTCCATGGGAGCCAGAAACATGGACAACTGCCTTTGCATTGGCATTCCTCGAGTGGGATAAAAAGATTATTAGAAGCAGGAAAGGGACCAGTTCAAGGTGGCTTCGGTGTTGTGGAGTGAGTGTGCGTGTGTGTGTGTCTACACACATTACATGGTACCTTGGCTCTGTTTGACATTCAGCTGTCTGCAGTGAAATTTATTGCACTAGAAGCAATAAATAAGGGTAGAGTGGACAGGACGTAGAAACAAATCATGAGTACTGGTTAGCAGTGTACTCTAATCTCAGCTATCTTCTTTACATGATCTAAATGAAAGTACAGAATGAAGAGAGAATACAGGAGAAATGGGGACCTCTCACATATGATGTGAAAAAGAATAGTTAAATGTTTTGCCTCTAGCACTCTACCTTCAAAGACGTTGAAATGCCCTTTTTAAAAAAAGTTGACAGTATTTGTTCATGTTGGGTTCATTTTTTAAGCCATAGGCTTCAGCTGCTTAAGACTGGTATATGTTTGCTATCTTGAAATATTCAGTCAAGATAAAAAAATTGACACTATTTTGGCTACAAGAAATGTATTGCCATTATTATGAAGTAATTGAGAATTTACTAAAACCTTTTTTTAGGTATTGTCCTTCCTGCAAAAATGATTCTAATGAAGTTGTAAAGGCTGGAGAAAAGCTCAAACAGAGTAAAAAGAAAGCAAAGATGCCATCTGCCAGTACTGAAAGCCAGAGAGACTGGGGCAAGGTAGAGTGTATTTTAGAAATAGCTGTTACTCTGATTGTTCATGTATGTGCTACATCTATAATTCTACTTATATATGCACTACACAAAATTCAGTACTGGGTTGCACAGACCATAAGACAATGTCTAATCCTGCCCACTATCTACTGGCAGTTAAAGCAGTGGAAGAATTATTAAGGTGACTAGAGGTAAAAACAAAAAAACCTAAACCTTGATCCCTCCCCCAAACCCAGAAACACATATTGCTTAATTAACATTCCTTTTAACAAGCGTTAACATATTTTAAAGTATGTGTTTGTTATAATGATCAGATTTTGTGATATCTGCATTGCATTTGCAAGTAGTCTTCAATATTATAATACTAATTAATTTTGCCTAATGTATTTTTAGGGCATGGCCTGTGTTGGTCGCACTAAGGAATGCACTATTGTTCCTTCAAATCATTATGGACCTATACCTGGTGTTCCTGTTGGGACAACCTGGAAATTCAGAGTTCAGGTATGTTGTTTCAGTATTAGCTGTAGTTGAAGTAAATAAGAATAATAATGAATGGGTTGGGCACTAAAATAAATTTAGATTGACAGTTGCCATTTTCACCAGGACTAAACAAAGCAAATACATTATGATGTTAATATTGGAAGTGATGCTGATAGCAGTGAAGGGTGAAGTATATTGATTTTACAATACAACTTAATAAGAAGTCTCTTGTCATTAGGTTAAAGAAATTTCACAGGTTAAAATTCTAAGTGGGATACTTAGTGAATAGAGTCAAGTGTTTTCTGAAGTGTACTTCACATGAACTGATTATCCCACTTGGCAGATCTAGACTGTAGATTTTGAAAATGTTACATGGTATCACTGTAAATTTGCTCCCTGTTGGGTTTTTTGGTCATATGTAATGGATGTCCAAATCGTCTTTTGGGCTGATAAACAGCTTAAACCAGTGTAAGCCTGGTTTATAGGCTTACAAACCAACTGAAATTAGCTGCCCATTCAGCCTTTGCTGTTTCTTGCACTGTCTCATTTTCTGTTGCAAATGTTTCTTAGGCTGTATGGTAAACTATTGGTAAAAAAACTGGCAGAAAAATAATCCCATCTGGGGCAGGAGAGGAGTTAATTTCACATTTTGGTTATATAAGCACAGTGCCAATACTCAGAGGGGCAGGAAAAAACAAAGCAGAGAGAATGGGACAGCTTCATTTTGTGCCAGTATTGATTTTCTGTGGTTCTGAAGTGTCCAGAAAACTGCAAACTTACTTCCTTTTCCCCCAGCCTTATCTAATAGCACTGATTTTTGGTTTATCTTTGATTTTTTTTTATTGTTGTTTTTAGTCAGGGAAATACATACTTCTTTATTTTCAAGATCAGTTAGTTCTTTGTCTCTTGCATGTGTAAAGGATTGTAATTGAATGTCTTCCATCATACTTAGAAGAATAGAAACAGGTTTTTTTAAACTGCTTGAGGAGAGGCAAGCCAAGACTCAAAAGCCTCTTCTGATGTGTTTTCTGAACTTTTTATTACCTGCTTTCTCATGAGAAGAAAACAGATGTTTTATTATTCAATTGGTAGAAGAGAACGCTTAGCAGGAAATTTTCCTCTGATGGTGGTGTTTTCCAGTATTGTGTGAAGAATTATGCATTTGGAAGGCCATGCAAGTTTTAAGGCTGATATGGTTAGCAGCCAACATTTTTTTCCTTAGCAACAGTTTTCAGTTTCTCTCCTTGGTAGAAATCACAGTGAAGCAGTTGAAACCTAAACTAGTTCTTTTGATCCTTTCTCAACTTGATGTCCATCACCAATACTACCATCAATACAAGCCTTAGATGAAGCAAATTAAATTTGTAATGTAAAATTATGCTGTTCATCGTACCAGTGATTTGATACAAAAAAGAGGAAAATTCACTTTTGAATCTTTGGGTAATTTCATTGACCTCTCCTTTGTCTGAAGAACTTTTTTTTGAAAGGAATGAATAGTTGTCTTTTTTGTAAACTTCCAGATTAAGTAAAATCTCATAAGTAAGAGGGGTTTCTAAAATCACTTATGGCAACTCAAAATCAAGTTTTATTTTCACTGCTTCTACAATAATTGAAATTGTTAGTTCACGTTTTTGTTAGGAATTCCACTGGTAACACAAAAGCTAGTGATTTTCAGATCTTTCTAGTGCTGGTAGGAAAAAGGAACAGAATTAGCATGGCTGCTTTTGTCAGAAAACTAAGCAGAGTGCGCTAATTTTTGTACATATATGTGTGGACTAGACATCAAAAAGCAGTTACCAGTTCTACACAATTATTTAATTTTGGGTACAAATGAAATACTTCATCCTTTTTCTTTTTTTAAAGATTGAAATGTTTTCTACATAGAAAGTTAAATTACACTTCTGTTCCTCATATGATTAGTTTGTATGAGAAATGAGTTTGTTTCAGCAAATCTATGAGAATTTAGAGACTGTAGTTTCTTTATTTCTGATTTGCGTAGTTTTTTTATGACACAAACTCTCTGTTCCCTAGAAGGAAATTGACTAAGTATTGCTTCTGGAGAGAGCATCTGAAGAGCATCTTTGGCGTGAATTACTTACCAGAGTTCATCTTTGGGGTGAATCACCTACCAGAAACCTAAATTTAATTGATAAAACCTGGAAATGAAAGACGGGAGGGAGGATGTTTGATACAGTAGGAAAGAGGGGCATAACAGTGGGGCCTTTTTATCCAGCATACTCATCAATGGTCTGGAAAAATTGGCAAATAGCTGATAAAAGTTAAGTGAGAGCACTAAGTTGTTGCGGATAGTAAACGTTGGGTGGGGAACAGTTCTAACTGTATGATTTTTAATGGGCTTTCAGCTACTTCTTATTCTTCTTATTTAGGAAAGACATCTTCTAATAGCTAATTTTGAAAATAATGTCATCTTAATATGCAATAGTGATAAAAAATCAAGCGTTAAATTATTGTGAAAGCAAGGCTCAGGGAAATATTATGAACAACAATCATGATTAGAGAAATGGAATGGTTTTCATTCAGCTGAAAGACTTTTCATTCTGGAAGAATGTTGAAGATGTCGTGTAGTGTAGATGGCTACAAAATGACATGCAGTATCAAAAAAAGTGATTAGGGACCAATACACGTACTTTTGTAATGTAAAAAGGAGTCATCAGAAAAAAAGGTCAGCTGCCTACTTCAAAATGAACAAAAGTAATATTAGTTCATGTGACAAGCAGTACTGCTGTGAACTCTTTTCCCTCTTGGATACTATGGATCTAAAAGTTTTAAGTAGTTTCGGAAGTCTGAGCCACAGACAGCTGGATGGTGAGAAGTTGTGCAAGGAAGTATCATTGTGTCCTTGCATAGTTTTTGTACTGTGCACAGCTCTGGTCTGTTGTTAGAGACAGCATTTTTGGCCAACTGGACCTTTGATCTGATGTATTGTATTACGAAAGTACAAGACTGTGGCAGAAGAACGTAAACTTCCATGCAAGTTGCTTGGAAGTGTAGGCTTAGAAGTGTAGGGAAAAGGAATTCAGGAGCGGGAGAAGCAGAATGAGAAATACAGGCAAAGTCAAGGTCTGAAGGAAGATAATGAAGGTGGGATGAAGGATCCTAATTGGTTTTCTGCTGGGAACCTGCATTCTATCAATACTATTTTTGGCATCATGTACTGAGAAAATACGCAATTTAATATGCAACCTCTTTCTTAGTCATAAAGGATTTGGGTTTTTTAAAACATAGTTTGGTCATTTGAAACAAGTATTACATTTTTTGTGGGAGAGATGTTCCGGCAGACTTTAACAATGTTGCCAGTTTATGGTACAGCTGGAGCTCTCAGCTGGTCTGGTTGCAGCTTAGTGGCACATTGGTTACCAGGGAGTTGTTTGTCCTGGTTGGAGAGCTAGCTTATGGTCCATACGTTGTTGCAATGGCTTCTTCTGTTTCCTTAGGCAGTGTGGTAACACTCCTCTGAGTTGGTCACATTTACGGTGTGTTACCTTAATAGTACCGGACATAATGATCTTTACGCAGGTCACTGTGATCTTCCTTAGTTAAGAATTGTAAAATGTTACCAAACTGGCAGATCTCTATCTGCTTTGGATTGTTCTAAATGACTGTGCAAGTGAAGTATAGCAGTAACTACAGTCTTAAATACTGCTTATGGAAAGAATTGTGTAGATTTTTCCCCGAGAAGAAAGTGTACCTTTATATCTTCCAACGTCACGACTGTTGTACGTTGTCCTTCCATTTTTTAGGTGTCCTTACTTTTGGCTTTTCTTCCATAAAAGCAAGTGGAATTACCACCTTTAATGGCAGTCTTACATTAAGTATTTACACAGACACCACTGTATAATATTTTAAGCAGAATGTTGATTGTTAAAAGGGGTTGTAGATGGCTGGTTGTTTGAAAAGAATGCTAGAAACTGGCTTTTTTCCTTGCCAGGTGAGTGAAGCAGGTGTTCACAGACCACATGTGGGTGGAATCCATGGACGCAGTAATGATGGAGCTTATTCACTTGTATTAGCTGGAGGATTTGAAGATGAAGTGGTATGTCATTTATGCAAGCAATGGTTTTGCTGTTCTAATGTATCAATGTTTGTAAAGATAGTGTTATGTTTGTTGTTAATCCTAAAACTAATGCTTATGCAAATATGACCATGAAAAAAATAACTACTACTGATGACAAACTGAATAGTTCTTAGTATTTTGGGGAGAAATATGTAAGCAAATCTTTCTTAAAGAATGTTTATGCTCATACTCAAGCAAAATATCTCAAATACAGCTGAATTTTACATTGTTTAGGGTAATTAAATTTCAGTATACTTTTGGAGTCTGAATTTAGTATTATGAAAAATCTGATAGTGTAATTATATGCAAATAATATGTTTTATGTTCCGCTTTGGTCATGATTTTTATTGCTTTCAAGACAGATGCCTCTTCCTTCGGGTTTGTTGTGTTTCTAAATATGCAAGACATTTATTTTGATGCAGCAAGAATAAAATGTACATGTTACTTTATTCTGTGAAATTCTGAAGGTTCTTGACTCCAACTGATGAGCACTTTCAGAACATCTTAGGAAAGTCTCAATATGTTGTGTTATGATCCCTGAACAGGAACTGCATCTGACTTTCATCTCATGATGTTGACCAACATTTATTTATGAATAGATTACTGTTCTCTGCATTAAATAATGTTTACACGGGGTATATCCCTTCCTGCAGTTCTGCTCCATCGGGTGGAATTTTAAATCATGCATCAGGTGGAGGATAAAGCAGTAAGCAGTCCTTTTTTTTAAAACATGCATAGCTGTTAATCCAAGGAAAAAGGCACTGGAGAAAGAAATAAGCATCTGAAATAGCATCAGAATGTAATGTATTCTTTGCCAACAGCACCTACCAGCTGCTGCTGCTGCAGAGTATTGCTTCTGAAGGAGTCTGTGTCTCTTTTTGAACAAGTCAAACGAGGAGGTACTTGGTGTTGGGATACATTACTACATCCTTAGAGTCAACCCCAACCCTTAGCCAGTGGATCCTAAGAATACTGTTGCTTAGTAGTTGTACCTGCTATGTTGGGGTTGCTGCAGACTCCTGGTTTTTTTCTTTTTGCTGGTGATACTGATGTCCCATTATTTCTGTTGCTGTAATTATTCAATTAAAAATCCTCAATAAATTTAATTGGATCCTTTCCATGTCTTTTCCAGTTCACCTAAGTGATGTTGTGATCACATGTTTTTGTGGACATCTAAGTACTGTCATAGTCTAGGTGACATATCTAATTTGGAAGAGGCATAGTTGGGGAGAAATACTGCAGAAGATACCCTAAATTTGTATGAATGTCAGCCTTTTTGCAATTCTCTAAACTAAGAATACAAGGGGATTTTTTTTTTTTCCCCAGGTACGTTTTTGGAATTAGTTTTTCTTCAGTTCTTTTTTCATATACCAGATTTTATTTCCCAGTTCACTTCCATTTTCCCTGTTTTTTGGAAGAGGTTGAAATTAAAGTCCTATAAGAATTCCCACAGAAAAATCAAATTCTGTACTTATAAGTATCCTAAGTACAGTATTTCATTCCAGGAATGAAACTTTTAAATAAAAACTCAGATAAAATCCTCTGCTCACATCTAGTCACTTTATTATATGAGAACAAGAAAAGAGAGGTGACTCTTACTTGAATTTCAATGGTATGATGTAGGTACTTGTGTGTAAGTTTTTACAAAATTAAGAAATAAATACATTTTGGAAGACAGTTATAAACTGTATGTTTATAAACTTTATGCATTATTTATGCACACTGCTGATGTATGCCATCTTAGTGTTCTTCTTGTGGCTTTAACAGTTCACTATTAGGATAAAATAGTTGCAAAAATATATTGCAGAAAATAGAATTCACTGTCTAGCTTTGAGATGATGTGATTTTTATCCTGTGCCTTTGGAAACGTACAGTCCTGCAGACCCAGACTTGTCTGCAACTTTGCTCCAGTTGGGATGTTCTGGATGTATTGGGAGTGCTCAGTAACGAGTTCTGTCAGTACGTGATCTGCCCTCAAGACTGAGAAGGTGTATAGTCATAGTTTACAAAATGAGCATTGGGTGAAATTGTTTTGTACATGAAGCTTAACCTCATTCTTAATTAGATGCGTATAAAATGTTTGCGCACTAATTTCTCTCTTGTAAATGTTTAACCTTGAATTTTAGTGACAAGTTACATGGCGTACCTATTTAAGATACAGTATTACAATAGTTAGCTTTAGAGTCTTGAAAATGTTAACATTACTGATCTCCTGGTCTTGTTCCCTGCTATGGTTACTATCAAGAACATTAGCTGAAGAAATTGAGAAATCTTTCAGGAATTTAAAATCTAGAAGTTATTTCAGAATAGACTAACATTTAAAAACTAGATATTGGACATTAACAGTGATTGTGCAGTCACAGCGTTCATGATAAAAATATTTTGACTTGTCTGTTCATCAAACAAAGTAGTTGCAGAAATTTCACTTTTTTGTTGAAAAATTGCCCTCCTATTTTGTGTCATTGTTTTTATGTATCAGGGTTAATACTGCTGTTTATTTTCAAAAGTTTCAAGATCCATGTTTCTGCCGGGTTGAGGTAATGTTGTCAAGATAGTAAATTAATTGTGTGGTGTGCTTAGTTTAATCTGAACAAAGATTGTTTCTTCTTTAAGTGCTTTTGCATATAGCGTCATATGGGAAATCTGAAATGACAATCAGAATCTCTTGGAGAATAATATCTTCTGTGATCATTCGCATCCTCTTGTAAAAGATTCTGAGAGTATAAAAGAGAATAGCATCTCTAATGACTCAGAAGGGACCCCAGGCAAATAGACTCATTGCTTAGGTTCGTTGATGATTTTATACCAAACCTATTCAGTGCCTGGAACGTAACATTCACAAACCACTTCATGAAATGGCTTACTGTCCATTTTAAATGTTCTGTGTCTTTGCATTAATCTTGTGTTTGGGTAGTCAGTTCCAAGGTGTTAGTACAACTGTTATTCCACTTGTTTGAGCTAGTCCAATTGCAAATAAACTTTTAGCTGACTCGATTTGCCTGAGCCCTGTGATGAGGATATGGCATTTCAGAACCTCTGCTTAGTGTGCATTGGACAGTGAAAGCACTTGATCAGTTCCATCAGTGCCAAAGGTGCGATGCCAGTACTGTAGTGAATGTCATAGTTAAATGGCTTTAAATCCCAATCAGGTGACAACAGGAGCCTCATGTCTGAGTCAAAGTGTTTTATATCCAAAGACCATTGTGACTAGCAGTTTTCTAGCAGTGACTGGATATGTATGTATGACCTGCTGCTTTATTAACCAGTTTGCTGCATTTACTTGCATCATCTGAATTCAGTGTGAGCCCTGGTACAAAAGCATGTAGTATCCTATATAAATTTTCTGAATTATCATGCCATGCTGATTATGTTACCAAGGGAACAGTTCCTTTCAGATTTTCTCACCTCAGTTTCATAGTACTAAGAATCCAATATAACAAGTTCATTACAGCCATTACACTGAGAGTCTCTCTATTGTGAGTCACCTGGATTGTAATACATAGCTGAAAACCTGATGCTTGATGCCATGAAACTTGCTGTTTTCAAGCGCCATCACGTTTCCAAGGTCTAAGCACCCTACTGGTTTGGGACTTGCTTGGAGTGCCAACATAATGTGAAAAAATTTGAGTATCTCACAATATGATACCAAATATGTTCCTTTTCACTCAGATGGGTTATTTGTCTGCTCTTGTTACCTCCAATACTAAGGACACACTTGACATAAATTGTAAGGCATTAGCTTTAATACTTAATTCTTACCAGTGTTTCAGATTTGCAGGGCAGTTCCTATTCTGCAACAGTCTCCTCTCCATTGTTTGTTATTCCATTATTGTTAGCTATCAGTCCATACAAAATGCTAATTCATACTAAAAAATATGTTTTGTGCATCATTTCTGAATGTGATTGTCTCCTCTGTACCTGCATTATATTCAGAATTACTTTCACATTCTGAAAAGCCTTATTTTGTTACACAGATGCCTTTTGTCATTGTTTTACTGCTAGTACTACATCTGTCAAAGTAGCCTTATCTGCCTATTTGTCAGCTTCTGTCATAACGGAGTGTGGACTCTGTGTCTATACTGCTTTTATCTGTGCTTTCACAAAGTTAATTTGCAGGGCTTTGCGTATCTGGTTGTTTCTAAAGCATTGAGGAACCCATTTGACACTGATAAAGCAGACTAAAAAGTAGATATGAATGTTGCCAATGCTTAGCAAAACACCATTTGGCTCCTTTTTATATTTCATGCTTTCCAGGAAGCATTCTGTCTGGAATAGTGCCTTAGGTCAAGGGCATAGGACTTGGTTTCTGTTTGTGAATGCCTAACATACTGAGATACTTTTTCTGAAATTCATACATTTTCAAGAGATGTTAGTCATATTAGTGCAATATATGGAGTATAATCAATATAGTCCCTTCATAAAATTCCGAAGGATCAGCATAATTATACTAATCTTTGTTGTGTCAAACCATGAATTTCGTGCTGGACTTCATAGATTTTTCACATGTACACTTACAAAAATTAATTCTTATGATATTAATCATTTATTTAAATACAGGAAATAAAAGGATGAAAGTAACAAATTCTGATTATATGTACAGAGATAAATGAATGTCAAATAGTAAGTGCATGCCTTTTAGACAGGCAAGATTTTCCTTGCCTTGCTTTAACTAGGATTATAGTAGGCTCATTAAATAACTCATACAGATTGCAGGATATTTTGCCCTCCGAAAAACAATCCATCAGTGGTCTCCAGCAGATAGTCAAAGATAATTGTAATTAAAAAATGTTGTCTCAAAAAACTGTTCTATCTCCTAAGTAATCTCCCACTACAGAAAAGGGTCTTTGAGCTGAAAAGGCTTTCTGTTTGTTGTATCTTTGGTGAACCTGGTCTGAAGTCGGAACTCGTTTTCAACAGAGCAGAAGATAATGAATCCAGATTGGGTAGCCTGGATTGTTTACCTGTTAAAGTTTAATGTAAAGGTCTGGAAATCCACCATTTTGGCACTGAACATTGAAAGAAATAAGAAAACCTCAGAAAGAGGTGCACATACAGTAGTTGTCTAGTACTTTTATTTGGGAGTTATTTTTCAAAATGTTGTCCTATTTCCATTACCAGTTAGCTGCCTTCTGCTGTTTCCTGCTTTGAAGCTTTCTCACTTATTTTTCAGAGATCCAGATTGGCTAACACTAAAATGGTTAAATGTTTTCATCGTGGTGGAATATGCCACAATATTGTCAGGTTCTTGCTGTCAAGGGTGCTTGCGGAGAAGACTGAGAAACACCAATTATGATATATTCAAGCTCTGCACTTAATGCAAGGGGGTTTTTATTGATTTATAAATGAAATATGTAATTTAGCCATTCCCTTCTAATCGGCATCTTTTACTGCAGTGCTAAACCGTGAAATTATCAAAAATAAATCAGGCAGTTGGGCAGATAGACCAATTCTGTCAGCACTTACATGCATACAGACCTGTGAGACTTTAATGGAGATGAATGATGACATGAATCAGTTTCAGGTATCCCTACTGCTAGGGAAA